ATCAAATCCATATCTCTCCAATTTAGAGAGAAGTATGTTGTGGTGCACGGTGTCAAAAGCCTTACAGAAATCCAAACAGATGACATCCGTAGCTCTTCCCTTGTCCACTGATGTAGTCAGTCTGTCATAGAAGGTCACTAGATTGGTCAGGCAGGACTTGCCCTTGGTGAAGCCATGCTGGCTGTCTCGAATCATCTCCCTGTCCTCCATGTGCCTTAGCATAGCTTCTAGGAGGATCTGTTCCATGATCTTCCCAGGCACAGAGGCGAGGCTGACATCTGCTGTTACAGAGGGAACTTCATTGACTTGTGTAGCTTCGTCTGTTTGGAAAGCAGTCTGTAGTAGTGTATTACCAGGCTCAAACAAACAAAACTGTCCTGACTGAGTTGTCCAGGTGGAAGGTATACTGGTGAAAAATCTTTCTTTTTGCCAGCTATTATTATTGAACTTTGAAATTTTGAAAGCTCAGTCGGCCAAGTATTTGTGAAAGAAATGAAAACAAAGAAATAATATCAGGGCATTATTTCTTGTACTAGGACACAGATGGTAGATCTGTTTTGTTTCTGACTAGCAGTGTTTCTGACCTGGTACATGAGTCCTTGATGTTTTCTTAGGAGCAATTTCAATAGCGTGTATTTGGGGGAAGGCAGTAGGACAGCTTCACCAAAAACACTTGATATGGTAACTTAAGTTGTTAATTTTTAGGTGAAGTTGGAAAAAGTTAAAAATGTTGAAAAAGAATAAAGTTTCTCAAGCACTTTTCAAGTTCTAAGGGTGTTTTGCTGTGTGCCAGTTTAACTTGTTCCTGTGTTGATTGCTTTCTGTTTGACTTGAGGTTGATGCTGAATACCATCATCTGTGAAAGAGAACGTAAAGCCCAGAGGTGAAGGGAAAGTTTTCATTACTTGCTGTACCATCATCTCATCTTTTTTTTTTTTTCTGAAAATGTTAATATAAGCAATACTTCTCTTTTAAAAATGTTTGTGTTAAGGGGTTCTCCAGCAGCCCCTGAAAGTATTTTATTTGGATTAGAGCTTTTATTTTATGTTACTTTGTATGTGGACTGTGTCCACAAGGATTTTAGCTTTCTGTAAAAGCATTGGTGGTTAATTTCTGGTATAACGATTAAATCTCTTACAAAACATCTTATGGCTGAGAATTGCTGATGTCATGACTATCATTCATTGGTTGCTATGGAAATTAAGTAGGAATGCATTCAATATTAATACTGCATTCCTACTATGCACATTTTCATGATGGAAAAGTACTTGCTTTCTCCAAGAATGCTAGCTGCAGTGTTCCTTGTGACAAAGAGTACTTTTTGCAAATATGTCTGGGGTACCCCCTTCCTTACTGTTCTGCAAAGTCATCAGGCACCATGGTATGGCTTATGCAGTTCACATCGATTTTGTGCACCCAGTAATTATGTGTTCCAGCCCTTGAGTGTGTTTGTGGTAATGTGCCATGATGGGTTTGCATGAGATTTTACTTATATAGGACAAGTTGCTGTGCAGGCACTTCACAGTATGTTTCTTCTCCTTTAGTTTGAAAGGGAAGTTCCTTTCAGAGATCCTGAAAGGTTGTGCATAAAAGCGTGCGATTTGTGTATCTGCTTTTTAAAGTGGTTTCCATGCAGTCTCTTTTCTGTAGCAGGACAGCAGAGTTTGGTGACCGTTGATGGCGATTAACAAAATAATTTTTGTTAAATCCTAAATTCTGGTGTTTAACTTCCATTTCAGGCTGTAAGGAGCAGACCATGTCTTATTCTAACTAGCAGCTGTATTTTCTTTCTCTATTAAATTTTGAAATGTCATTCATAAAATGCTGTTGCACTAATAAGTTGAGCTAATATTCCAAATTTAAGGCTCGGTAGTGATATAATTACAATTCAATACTTCTGATTAAAATATGAGGGTAGTAGAAAAGGTCTTGGTCTGTGGCAGAGCTGTTTGCCAAGTTTCTTGAAGAAATATTTACGTCTTTCATTACTACCCATTCAAAGTCAGATAACTAGTGTAGCACTGGTTAAATACAGGAGCCATGTATATCTACTCTCAGTCTGGTAGGGGAAAAAAGTTTTTAGAAATAAGCCTGAAGACTTGGAAGGGGACCTGCTGCTTAAGGGAGGCTTGGCTAGAAAAAGAAGAGGACCAGAGTGTTCTGATTATACAGGTGAAAGTTACTTTTACGAGAAAGTAACTTAAAAATATGTTTTTATCTATAAGGAATTAACACACCACTGCCCCACCCCAGAAAAAGAGCCAGGAAAAATTTTGAAACTGCCTGTACAATGAGCAAGGCTACTGATACTGATGCGATGAGCTCCTGGCTTCTGCAAAAATGGTGCAATAGGAAGAACAAGTTTTTTTTGATGAAGGGCTTAAAGCATAAAGTGTAAGTGCAAACAAAGCACCTTTTGTCCTCTATATCATAAAGAAGTATTGTGTGGCAGTGTAATTTCTTTTATAATTCAGAATTGATTGATGCTTAATGAGGTCTGTGGATTGTACCCTTTTGGTGTGGGTAGATGCACTTGATACATGCAATAATGTCCCCATTCACTGGAGTGGAAGTAGTATTGAAAACTGCAGCTAAACTTGCTGTCTCTAGCAGCAGTGGCATGACTGATTGCTGAAAGTTGGAGCATGGGACTTGAATTGAGATTTGGCAACACAGGGGAAAATGGTTGTCTGTTTTGGAGTGTGACATGAGGCAATATTTACCCTGCTCTGTTTCTCCCTTTTCCAAGCAAAAGGCAGGTTGCCAAGTACAGGGACTGAATGGTTCCGACCTTCAGTTGGAAACATTTTGCCTACACTGGGGTAAATGAGATGTGCAGATAGCTCAGGAAATCCGAAAGTCGTCCTCTATTTGTATGATGCTTTACTTAATGGTCGTGCAAACTAGATGGTTCATTCTATGCATGTATCTTTTTTTTCCTGCCCTCTATAAACCTCAGCTTTATTCCTGTCTATATCCCTCCCTTTTTAAAGAGAAGTTGACAATTTTTTTTAAGTTAACTAAACTCAAAACTTTCCCATGACGCATATGTATAACCACAGAATTTCTGCATCTCTGGAACTTCCAGAGGAGTCATAGCAGAATCGAAGATCCATCTATGATAGCTGTTGATATAAATATGTATTTCCAGACACACAGTAAATACATCTTTGGTTGTTACTATTTGTGTATTTTTAGGATTAAAATTTTCTAGTTAGTGTGTGTTCTGGAGAATTGAAGATCTTGCGCAAGTGTTCAGCAAGCTCAGCTGAGGGAGTACAGTTGCTGTTTTGGCAGCTCCAGTGTTCAATTATAAGCCTTCAGCCTCACAGAGCTCATTTTGCAAAAGCTCTAAAATGTCAGATCTCTTACTTATCTTGTAGTTTCTATGCAATGCATTTTTCAAGCTGTTTTCCAGCTGTGAGGGCTCGTTTAAATGAAATTCTTGTAGAATTGTTCCATCCAGATCTACTATTTTAAAAATGCCACATGGTGAGATTTAAGGTTAAAGCTGCCTGTTACTTAAGATCTTTTAAATCTTTCAGCAGTTTAATGATGTGTATGGTGATATGTAGAGTCTCCTTTTTTTGGAGCATTCTGCCTTGCATGAAAAAACCCTCAACTTTCAAATTTCTGTTAAATCTTTAGAACAGTTTGAGTTTGTCCATTTAGTTGAATCTATGTTGTTCTGATATAGTGTTTCAATGTGGTGCTAAAGAGTGAAATCTTATTTTGTCCATCTAGTTAAATATGGTATCCTAATTAATGAAACAAAAACTGAGAGATTTCAGATTACTCATGACAGAATATTCTGTGATGGAGTGGGACTTCTCAATAGATTATTAAACCTAGGTTTACCACTGCATTAAGTGACGCAAGTATTGATTCTGATATTTTAAAACCATTTCTTCACTCTAGCTAGTCTAGAATATAAATGCTGAATTGCATACAATTCTTACAGTGCCACATAAATTGGGGTAATTTTCTTTGACATATACCTCTTATTACAGAACTTCAGAAAGCTTTTATTTAATAGTTTCTATGGTTTTCTTCAAGAGTTAAGTACTTTGAATAAGGATATGAATGTTCTGAGAGAAAATTTCCTTCCCCTATCAGGAAGAACTACAAGTGGAAAAGGTAGGGAGAAGCTGGAAAACTTAGAGCTTCCCCCCACCTGCTCCCCGAATGTAAAATGAAACTGTTCACAGTACCCCGAGCAATACACTCTGATGTATTTCATGAAATTGCTTTCTCTATAGGCTAATATTTTTCTTGGTTATTAATTTAAAAGCTCTGAAACTTGCAGTTTCTGTTGAATGTTGTTTTGCTAGTTTTTTTAAGTAGTGCTTGATAAGATGAATATACAGAAAACTGATATTTTTTTTTAAAACTTTTTGTGAGAATGGTGAATGTTTCATTGTCCACATAAGAGACTGGTGTCATAATGAAGATAAACAATTTCTGCTTACAATGTTGAAAAACAGGAGGGAAACAAAAGAAAAAAAGCAGGATGTTTTCTGTTTGCAACATTGAAATTTCTTGTGTGTGGACATGAACATTCAAATATATTTGGATGTCTTATGATGTAGTATAATTCAGGTTTTGATAATATATTTATCATTATTCAAAAATAATTTATTCAGTCATCTCTGTGTTGACTAAAGGTTTTCATGCTACGCTAGTAAAAAAAAAAGTGACTAAAGGTCATGCTGAATAAGCAGGAAAATACAGTTTTACTTTTCAGTTTTTTTTCCCCTGAGTAAGGAAAGTCTCTTTACCTCAAAGTTTCTAGATGTCTTATGATTTTCTACTGATGCTGGTGCTCCATATAAATACAAAGTCAAACCTCCAAATACAGGTCTCAAAAGATGTCTAGCAGAGTGCTGTTAATGTCTATCATCTCAGCTGTACTAAGATGAATTCAGGGATTGGATTTTTTAAATCCAGGGAGTTTAAGGAGCAGCTATTAAGCTTTTCTCCCCATACTCTCTTTCCTGCAGTACTTGGGACATGTCGAAGTGGATGAATCCAGAGGAATGCATATCTGTGAAGAGGCTGTGAAGAGACTGAAATCTGTATGTATATTTGTTTCCTGAAAAAGTTGGCTTTGGGGCTCTGAGCGTTACTGGAGAAGGTCCATTCGGCAGCAGTGCCCCAGCTAAAGACTGAACTTTTGACCCATGTTAGGAGAACAGTTGGCCAGTTTGAGAGCACTGCTGCAGTTAGGGGGACGTGCTAATCTGATGATGAGAGGGAGAGAGTTACAACTGTTCTTTCTACTTGCAGAAACTATTTGCAAAACAAATGTGTAAAAATCCTCTGTGACCTTTGAGACTAAGTTGGTACCCACGTGGGACTTCAACCATTGTTTTTTAACAGTTCTTTCTCCCTCTCTCTTTTCCTCTCCCTCTCTCTCCCCCTCTGTTGCCTGCCACTTTAATAGTGACTTAATTCACCATTATTATACAAAATATTACTTGATTTAGGCTGCTTTTTTCTAATGCACTGCAACATTGTAGTCACGCATGAAATAATCTGGCTTGCATCTGCTCAAAGTGGCCTGAAGGCTGCCTAATTCTGGTATGTCATGAAGTGGGCTGCTCTTAGTTTGGCTTCTGTGAACGTTTGCTCCTGTAAATGGCACTCGTTCAAAGCTCTTTGTATTTCTGTGGCTCATTTGTAGAGGTCTTGTCATCTCTTTCCTGCAGTAGTAATATCACAAAATCCTGCGGAAATAGCAAACTCCAGAAAGGCAGTGATCAGTCTGTCAAGGAACTGAGGCTAAAACAGCATTGAAGAGAACAGAAGGAGAAAGAACATTCCAATTTGAAGTCTGAATGGAGATAGAGAACTGCAATCCATTTCATCACTTCCCTTATGTGTCTTAGCTATATACATTCTTCAGTGATGCCTTTAGTGGAAGAAACTCTTGTATCCTTGTAGCTCAACAAAATTACTGAAAGTACATCAAACACTTCTACTGCACTTTTGCTAACTTAGGATACCTGCTACTGGACATTGCTTTTTTTCCTTGCCAAGTGTGAGAGCTCAAATGGCTTCCAACTAAACCTGTTCTTCCCTTCTTCCTAGCACAAACAGAGGATTATAGGTCAGCTTTTTCTTCCTTCTGTTGTGCTGTAAAGTTTCTGAATTGGTTTAGTGCTCTGATTAAAATCAAGTCTTTTCATTCTTTTCTCTCTTAGCTAATGTATAGCAACCTGTTAAAGCCGTATCCCATCTGTTCCCATTCAGTCCAACAGTAATTGGTGATTGATTTTTTATTAAAAAGGGCCACACAAAATATAAATGAGTTTCTTTGTTCTATGGATTTAGTTTACGTAGCTGAAAGTGCAAGTACTGGCCACATAATGAATTGCATCCGTTTTTGTTTTGTTCTGGTTTTTGTGCTATCAGAATACTTTCTATTAGCACACCAAATAACCTTGCAGTATCTACTTTATTCAACTTGTGTCATTCTCTTCTCTGGGGAACTATGCTGTGGAGTATTTGTTCTCTTGTATTTTTATAAACTTTAAGCTCACAAGCCACTGAAGTGTAGCTAAGCTTATAAATAATGAGACACAGTAAAAGCATAGTGCCCAGTTTCTTCTGGAATCTGGATAATTCCAGGATTGTGATTCTAGATCACCTGGATTATTGATTCAAATGTCAGACTTGCGTATCTACCTTTTACAGTGCGTTCTCTGGAAGTAAATAATTTCATTTCCCTTTTCTGTGCTATGTCATTATTCCAAATTGTGAATGGTATGAACTTACCCATTCTCATAAATTCAACATTGTTCTTCAGACAATTTTGATTTCTTCTGCTGTTTGAAGTTTTTGATGTCTATATATAAATGAGACATAAGCGCACGTCTCTTACAATTGCTGTTTGCATTGTCTCCTTTGTCAGTGTTGGAAGTTGAGAAGCAGAGGCGAAATTCTTATTTGGCCCCAAGGGGAAGATTCAGATTACTGAAACTACTTTGTGCGCTTTAGTTGCTAGACTCCATCAGATCCAAGGTTCATTTGGAGCTGCTCACTGAATTCAACCCCTGCCCCCCACCCCCAGCATGTAGGCTTTAAACTGGGGGCATTTCTTTAGGACTCTACTATTAATGAAAGCTCTTTTCTGTACAGTATGCTGTCTTATTTAGCAAAAGCCAAACCACTGGATGATGTTTCAGCATGCAAGGCATGTGATAAGAAAACAGTTTGTTCTTTTGGTAGTCTCTTGCTTTCACAGTACTTGGTTATTTTTGATGGGTTTTCTCTTGGTCTTGAAAGAATTACAAGTTTGAGCTGCAGTGCTCAAACTGAAAGACTAGCTTAAGGGAAATTGGACTTCACTTTTCATATGGTTAAACTGTATCGAAATGTATGTGGCCTATTTTAATCTTTACTGTTTTCTTTGCAGGTAATGTGTAGGTTTTATAAATCCAGTCAATAAATAATAATTCTGTTCTCTTAGACAGAATTGTTGAATACCTGTATCTTGTAGCTTCTAAAAATTAAAGTTCTGTCTTTACTTATTTTAGTAGAAATATTTTTTTTGTCTTAATTCTTGTTCTCCAACAGTTGGCAATTCATTTGAGGAACTAAAGTCTGTTCTTTTTTAGGGTTGACTAATGGATTTTAAAACATAATATAGAACAGTGTTAATCTTGGTTTTAGGAATAGCTTAATTTCTGCTTTGCTTTTGAAAGAAAAAATGCAAACAAATATTTGTCTCTATTGTGGGGAAATAACCTTTCAGGTTTTTTTCATTACCTGCTTGTTTAACATAGTGTAATTGGTTTTGAGCACTCCATCTTGCAGAACTTGAAACCAGATGATGGTGAGCGTTGTATTCAGGCATTGTTTAATTGACAACTGAGTAAAAGAAGCCACTTTTAGCTAGACAATCCCTCATCCATACTGTATTCCATTGTTACAGTTGTATAGCTCTGAAATTGCACACCAACAATACTATAATATGCAGGTTATAATATTGTTTAGAGTGAATGATGACAAACTTGAGTTATGTCCCTATTTTCTGTCTGATGAAATGGCACCGCAGTCTCATTAATAGGTCAGAAACCCATGTATTCAGCTATCAGTCTATTATTAACATGGGTTTATATTACCAGTGGCGCTTGCATTTTTCCCTTAGTAGGATATTACCAATGTAGCTTACATTTGTCCCTTAGTAGGGATATGTTACTAACTGTATACATTTCATATCTGTTAGGATCCTAGCATTTGGACACTAAGCGCTAAATGGTTTTTTTTCGGAACCATTTCACTGAATTTAAAATATTTAGCGCAAACTGGAAAATAAATTTGTAAAGGCCCCGTAAGTGTGTTTGACTCAGGTATGGGAACATCATATAAAGACAAAAGTATACTCTCTCATGTCATGTTTTGATTTTAAATCAGCTTTAGCGTGTAGTATTGGTTTCTAACTTGCCACTTTTTGTTTTAAATGATGCGTTTGTTTTAATATATGTTCTTGTTTTAGCAGGTAAAGAGACATAATTTAAAATTTTAAAACATGCATTAGTTATCTCTAAACTACATTAACTTAGTGTTGTTTAAAACCCATTTTGCATGATGCCTTTTCCATTAACCTTTTCCATTAACCTTTTCTAGTTTATTAAAAAAAATAATCTTGTTTAATAAGCATTTTGCTGAGAGCAAAATTAACCATCACCTAAAAATGAGGTAGCTTCTGGTGAATCTCTTTAGCTTTTGCTATCTTTAAAAAGCTGTTATTTAGTGTAATGCAATAGTCATTGCTCAACTTGGCAGCAGCATCCAACCCCTTCTCATTATGTACACAACACTGTGATTAATCCATTAGTTCCCCTCCTAGTGTTCAGCATATCCTGTCCAAACACATAACCATTCCTGCCTCTAAAAATTGTTAAGCTTTTCAGCTGACTGAACTTAGAGATGTTCTTTGTACAGTGTCTGAGTTGACATAAATATGGTACAGATACTCCGTAAAAAGCTCTATGGAAGGACGTCGGGCAGAGGCGCACACAGCAACAGAAGGCAGGAAATGCAAAGTTGAGACTGACTCCTTTCTTAACTTTGTGTTTCCTGGCTTTTGTTAGGTTGCGTCAGAACCATAGCTTTGTTTTAAATACAGCCTTGTTTGTCAATCAATTCTTGAGACACTGCCTCAGGATATTTGTAATAATATTTTTAATATAGTATTGTTATCAGTGATCAACATGTTGGAATTGCAGGGTGTTAATTTGGGGTCAGGGGCTGTCACAAAGATGCTCTCTGTCTCATCTGCAATTCTCCACCTCCTCCCCGTTACTGCTATACCACAGTTTTCTTACAAGCGAAACAATTTGGAAAGATAACAGGAACAGCGATATGCTTTGTGCCAGCTTCCCTCAAATGTGGAGCAGCGTGTGGCTGTGCTTGCAGAGCACCAGGCCTGGTGAAATGTTCTCTCAGGAGAGCAGTTCAGATCTTGCGGTTTTCTTTTCACAGTCTGGTAACAAAATAAAGCCGATAAACTAAACTGCGTGCAAATATGCTTAAAATCATGTGCTGCCTTCTTCTTAATGTGAATTGGTCAATCGGTATAATTGCTTTGAGGCTGAAGAAATTTAGGAAGTTGTCGTTCAGCTCTTGGTATCTTTGCACTTGCCTAACTGTGCCTATCTGAGCTGACTTTAAAGGGGTCTTGTTCAGCCTATCAATTCAGAGTTGTAGAATGACTATCTAGTATTTGTATAAATACTGTGTAAAGCCTTGGAAGGCTTTAGAGAGAGTGAAAGAGGAAGGGATCTCACATTTGTGTTTTAATTGTACCACAAGGTAAGATGAAATTCCTCACTCTTCAGAGAAGACTGCATAAGATGTGAAGTGTAAAAGTAGCATGTAAACCAAAGCAACAAATAAATGGAATAAAATGAAGCAGTGTTTAACCCTGCTCTATACCAGCCATACATGCTTCTTCAGCTTTTACAAAGCATTTGCTTTGGGACAGAGTGATAAA